AGAAGACAGCCTGAGGGCACAGGGTTAATGTACAAGGTGGTGGTTGCCATCCCCGCAGTCCCCTTTCACCCTCCAGCCATGACCTGAGGTGTGAACACACGAGGACCAGCAGGTTTATAAATGTCTACCCTCTGCCCCTGCCCAGGGAGGGTGTCCCATGTCCCCATTCCCCCCACACACAGGAGGAGGGTGTGCGGTCACCCAGGGAGGCTCGCAGTGCTGGCCTGGCCTGGCCCATCCTCCCCTGTGACACCTGACATTACCTTTGGGGAGCTCCTGCCAAATGGCCACAGGAGTCCAGGGCGAGGGCTGACCCAGCGCTGGAAGCATCGGATAAGCCTTTCAGCCCAGGGCTTCCTGGGGATACCGCCCCGGGACCTCTGGATACAGCACAACATCTCACTCTGCTTGTGGCCATTTGAGCTGAGGAAGGGGCTGTGTATAGAATGTGGGTGCCAGGTTACCAAGTTCCGAGTTCAGTTGGGGTCTGTCATCAAGGAAGTGAGGTCACTTCCTGGTACCTCATTTCCTGAACCCCTCCTCTGTGTACAAGCCTGCAAATGCCCCTCTGGGTACCTGATTGCTGGCCCTCCTGCCCCATGAACTCTCTCTATTGCCCACACTTCCACCAACAGTGCCCGACCACCCCCCTGTGCAAGGCCTCAGCGTCACAGCTTGGAGGATATATAAATAGGTTCAGCCCCAGCTCCTCCTTCTTATCACTTATGTGACCCTGGACAAGCCACTGTGACTCTCAGGACCTCCCCAGTCTCCCCTTCTGCACAGTGGTGATCATTCTAGGATCTTCTTCCTAGGGATGTCATCAGGCATGTGTGAGCAAACATGTCTGAAACCTATGACCGGTGTCACATGTAGCTAATGAACAAAACTAGAGATAAAAATCCATGATGGTGTGGAAGGTAGCATAGAATACTACTAGTGACAGGCCTGTTTCCTGTCATATAATCTTGAAAATGTTGCTTTTGCTCTTGGCCTGTTTTCCCTGTCTGCACCATGATTATTATTACCCCATTTTACAGAGAAGCAAAGACGTAGAGAGTCTGAGTGAGAACAGCCGGCTGCAGAGTGGCAGTCTTGTCAGTAACCAGTGACATCTTCTTGCATGGTCTTTCTCTCTGGACTTTCTTCTTTCCAGATCCTGCTTGGGTGGATTAATCTGTTACAGGTGACTAATCACACGCATTTGCATAAGGATCTTTCAAAGTTGCGCGATCAGGTTGTACAGATGAGGAAACTGGCAGATTTAACTAACTTCCTGGGCTCCGGGGGGGCAGGCCCATGTTTTGAAACTAGATCTGTGCGATTGAGAGAGAGATGAGGGGGAGGGGTTTGGGGGGCACTCAGCTCCTGGATGAGGCTTGCCAAATATTGTTACCAAACCCGAGTCTGGCTGCCTCCCCCTAAATAAAAATAAACCACCCCAAAAGTCAAATGTTGGTGAACATGGAAGTAAGACTTTATTCAGGAACATCAGTGACCTGAGGAGAGATGTTGGGCTGACCCATCTCTCTAGTAAGCCTGAAGGAGAGTGGCCAGGCTGAAGCCATCTCAGAGACTCAGGTTTACGGAGGGGGTTCTAAAGAGGGGGCTAAGGGAATGGAATGTGGGACAGGAAAAGCAGCAGGGAGGGGACGTGAGCTACAGGAGCTCTGTGCAGGGAGCCAAGTGCAAGCTCCTCTGAAACCTATGACCGGTGTCATATGTAGCTAATGAACAAAACTAGAGATAAAAATCCATGATGGTGTGGAAGGTAGCATAGAATACTACTAGTGACAGGCCTGTTTCCTGTCATATAATCTTGAAAATGTTGCTTTTGCTCTTGGCCTGTTTTCCCTGTCTGCACCATGATTATTATTACCCCATTTTACAGAGAAGCAAAGACGTAGAGAGTCTGAGTCAGAACAGCTGGCTGCAGAGTGGCAGTCTTGTCAGTAACCAGTGACATCTTCTTGCATGGTCTTTCTCTCTAGACTTTCTTCTTTCCAGATCCTGCTTGGGTGGATTAATCTGGTACAGGTGACTAATCACACCCATTTGCATAAGGATCTTTCAAAGTTGCGCGATCAGGTTGTACAGATGAGGAAACTGACCGATTTAACTAACTTCCTGGGCTCCGGGGGGGGCAGGCCCATGTTTTGAAACTAGATCTGTGCGATTGAGAGAGAGATGAGGGGGAGGAGTTTGGGGGACACTCAGCTCCTGGATGAGGCTTGCCAAATATTGTTACTAAACCCGAGTCTGGCTGCCTCCCCCTAAATAAAAATAAACCACCCCAAAAGTCAAATGTTGGTGAACATGGAAGTAAGACTTTATTCAGGAACATCAGTTACCTGAGGAGAGATGTTGGGCTGACCCATCTCTCTAGTAAGCCTGAAGGAGAGTGGCCAGGCTGAAGCCATCTCAGAGACTCAGGTTTACGGAGGGGGTTCTAAAGAGGGGGCTAAGGGAATGGAATGTGGGACAGGAAAAGCAGGAGGGAGGGGACGTGAGCTACAGGAGCTCTGTGCAGGGAGCCAAGTGCAAGCTCTCACCAAGGCTCCATCTGGCTTCTGCTCCTGCCTTTCCTGTACCTCAGGTCCTGCTGGAGGGGTGGATCCACATAGCTGTACTGATGTCTCCCTTGATTTCTCAGGGTCTGGATAGTATGTGCTTCCCAGCAAGTTTGCAGCTTCAGGCTGGCTGGAAAACAACTTTACGTTTCTGTAAATGTCACCCCATAACCAAGGCTCAAAATATCAAATAACCATGGGAAAAGAGGGAACTCAGAAAAATGCATGCTAAGAATAAAACTGAGTCTTTTAAAAATCTTTTAGAGTCTGTGAGGTTTTAGGCCCCAATATGGCTTCAGTCCTCGTCACTTCAACATGAATACAAAGCCCTGGCTCTTTCCTGAATGTCTCAACTACCCAAGACAGTGC